GTTGCACAACCCTCGCTTTTCGCTATAGTCCGTGGGGGGTGAGGAGGGCGACAAAGACGTGCACACATAAAAGAGGGACTTTCCAAGAATTCGGCCTTTCTTTTCCTGTGAAGACGCTCACCCCATCCTCTCGGAGGATACTGCCCACCTGTTTTCACGCTCTCCCGTGGTACCGCGCAGCCTTATGAGACTTTGAGGGAGGAAGGCTTACAGATGACGGTGCATGGTTTGAAGTTAGAAAAGACGTTTCCTCCTAAGGCAAAATGTTTTCGCACGCCGCATTCAGGGAGACAGGGAACCTTCAAATTCAGCGCTTTCCTTATTTCTGTTTAGGTGGCGCTAGGGAAAGATTTTCAATGTAGTGATAGGATTAATGTAGATTTCTCAATATTCCTGCAGTTCTTGTGTGCGATTCGTGTGCATAAGTATACCAGGAGACCGTAACTGTTATATTTTAGGCTATGCATGCTTAGATTTCAGCGCTATTTCAAGACAACAACGATTTTGTTGATGTTTACGGCACGATAAATTAAGACAATTTGCGAGCTTTGTTTCGCATTTCTGCTTGCTTTATTGAAAAACGCTATGTTGAGGAAATAGATCAGGGGTTCTAGTTTATTCACGTGCAAATTCAGCTAACGAACTCCAGTAGTTCTCCGCGAAAATGGGCCACGGTAGGTCTATCTAATGAGAATATTGCCCAATTTAGATCAATATAATTAAAAATCGAGCGGGCGTACATAAATAAAATTGAGCACTCAAATGGAAAATACCATCCTCTATATACACCCGGAAAATGAATTTTCTCTAGCGAATAGGTACCGGATAGTCCGCATCGACATTTACTGAATTTGGCTCTTTTCAAAAGCTAATCAACAATACAGTAAAAGCGCTAGAATAATTTGCTACGTTGAGGAAATAGATAAATATGTCTTAAATGTTCTGCGCAAAGAACAGTGCTGCGGCTGCATTTCCGATGGAGGCGGAAATGTTGTAGGCCCGTGTGCTCAGATTTGGGTGCACGCTTAAAGAACCCCAGGTGGTCGAAATTTCCGGAGCCCTCCACTACGGCGTCTCTCATAATCAAATGGTGGTTTTGGGACGTTAAACCCCACATATCAATCAAAGAACAGTGCTGTAACTGCAGCAGAGTTTTCAGAAAATGGTCACTGCTGACACAGTCAGACCAAACCATGTAACTAGCGCTTATTCTTGACTCTCCCTACCCAAATGCTAAAAGCTTACTTATTTTTAATAGATATGTTTAAAATGTGCAAAAATTAAGCTTTTCAATGACACATAAACCAACTATATAAGACAAGAAGAACAGCCGCCGCGTCAGTTGGAAAAGTGACAAAAACGATGTGTTCGTGCCGCCGGAGTGAGACCGCCGCCTTAACAGACCTGACCCACTCCCCAGTGTATCTGGTATGTCCCGCGGCCCGTACAACCATTCACCTTACAGGGAATCGGCTGAATGGCGAACCTCCGATGAGAGACCGATCTGCTTCTGCTGCGAACGAGTCCGCGACATTTGACGTCGTTGCCGTAATTCCTGAAATTAGCACCCATGGCCGCGCAACACCCGGTGCCCATTTATTGGTTGCCGGATGCCAGTACACGTTGACTACAACGCTCCGCTACCCATGCCCGCTCGACCCCATAAACATCCAGCCTTCGTGCTCGGCTAAAGAAAGCGCCCACTCCTGCTCCTATCACTGCATCCGAATAGCCGAGGGAGCAACATCAACTGTCACTGGGATGTGTGCCACCCGCTTCACCTTGGCTAGATGCCGTACTTGTGTTCTGTTTTACGCCCTAGACCACTGCACACTATAAATTATTGTGGGATTAGGTTTTCTGTCGGAGCGTTTCGCTTTACTGTTTTGCTGGTGTTGAGCTCGCTCTACCACATGCCGTCGACCCTCCTGCCCCTGCGCCGCCAAGGCTATGCTCTGTTGACTATATTCGCCTATTCTGTCGAGCTGTGACGTATATGAACGTCTCTTACGATCTGCCGGTGGCCAACGGAGCTTGCGTCGTGCCACCTAATGCTTGTTCGCTCAATGCAACATTCTGTCAATGAATTATCACTATGAAGGACAACATGGCATACCTCCCTCCCTTAAGCTAGAGCGTTCACTTAACCGAGCACCAGACTTACGAAACCACCGACTCTCGGCCATTTTGTTAAGTCCGCTCCAAATAAAGTGCACACCGACGCGAGTGACCATCAAATAGGAACAGTTTTGGCACGAAGAGAGCATGGCCTCGAGCGCGTCTTTGCATGCGCTAGCCATCTTTTATCGCCAAGAGAACGAAATTACTCAATCACTGAACGCGAATGCCTCGTGCTCATCTGGGCCGTGGGTAAATTTCGTTCGATCATATTTGTATGGACGGCCATTCAGTTTTCACTGACCATCACGCCTTATGCTGCCTATTGTCCGTAAAGGATCCTATTGCACGTCTCGGCCGTAAGCTCTTGGGCTACAAGAATATTCTTACACATTTGTTTACAAATCGGGCCGCCACTATAAAGATTCGGAGTGCTTGTCACGTCATTTAGTCGACCCACCGGACATTTCTGAGAGCAGCGAGTCCACTTCTGTGTTGATACTTCTCGTCTTCGGTCACATCGGAAATGAGCAACGTCGTGATCCTGCTTTGTGGCTGACTGGTCCCACAACTCATCCGTCTCTACGTATGTTTTTGCTCCAGGACGGCGTATTATAAAGCTACAGCATGCATCCTGACAGACCTCGTCTGCGCTGGTGATACCCCAACATACACGTTTTCGTCCACCTTTACGTCGCTCCTTGCGAATTCTCTCAACACCACAAAAAACCTGCAACTCTGCCAGCGGGGACGCCTTCGGCCGATAATCTGGTTAACCTGCAGAGCTTCCTTGCTATCTCTCTCTCCCTCTATCGGTCAGTGGGAACAAGCGGATAGCAGTCACCTTATACTACACCACTCGGTATGTAATCACGTGGGCCCCTCTCACCAGTCATTACGTGGGCCCTTCTTGTATATATATATATATATAGAGAGAGAGAGACAGAGTCTTTAGCATTACGACTAGTACATCATTTGTGGAGCAACATTTTTTGTAGGTTTAAGGGCACATAAATTACGTTTTCATGAGACGTGTCTGAAATGTTGAGCTGTGAAATATTTATTGCTCGCATTGCACTTGTTGTAGTTATTTGTCTTATGATTGAAAACGTCTTAAATGTAAAAAAGGGTTACAATGCTAAAAGGTTGCAGAGATGAGCGGTTCGTGAGGATTGGGTGTCACTGAAGCCGAAGTTTCGACTAGTGTATCTGTCTTTTCCAAGTTGAGGACTTGAAAGAATGCAAGTCTGCTTGTCGAAATGTCGGCTGCAGCACAAAACCCCTGTTCACGAATTTCGCATCTTCTCTTAAATGTAAGCAGTGACCAGTGATCGCTGTGATTTCGTGAACGTTGCGCATCAATAGTGTTGCATAAAGTGGCTTTTGTTTCGTGCAGAACGACCAGTGACACTATGAGGCTAGTCGACAGTGAGAAAAGGAGGGGCAGAAGAGAAGCGACGTTATGGAGCGGATCTCTAACCAATGTAGGGAGACAAACCCAACTCATGGGGAGGATTATCGATTTTTGTATGAGATGCACCAGTAGCAACTAGTTTGACAAACCCAACTCATGGGGAGGATTATCGATTTTTGTATGAGGCGCACCAGTAGCAACTTGTTTGTCTTTTAAATTTATGAACTTGACACAGTGTTACAATTCGCAATTATTGTGGTTACATTTATTAATAAACTATGTTTCAAATTTAAAGAAAAAGTCTAGCAGCTTGTACACAATCAACTAACTTTGAAAACGGGTCTCAGATGACAGTATGGTCGTCAGCATGGCAGCACGACGCAGAACAGGAAAGTCAGGTGGCCAGACGGTCTGTGCTTTATACTGCTTCTGAATCCTGGGACGGAGGTTCCGTGTCTTGGTCCCCAATGCCGAAGACGTCTTCTTCGAGTTCTTCAAATGATGCAATAACATCCATATGCGTGCGCACATTATGTTGTACACAGACACCTCTAGTGCCTTTGTGAACATCGACCTCCAGCGGCCTTTCATAAGGCCAAGGCATGCTTGAAAATTACACACGCTCTTGCGTGAGCTGTGCTGAAGTGTACCTACGCAGGTGAGATTGTGTCTTTATATGGCATTGTGATCGTAATTGGTGCATGGTCACTGGTTATTCCAGCGACCATGCTGGGATAACCGAAATCGCTTAAAATGCCGTATCCAGGAGGGGGATGAAGGCTTCTGGTGTAGACAGAACTATGCCCCGTGGCGAATCACACTGAACGTCGACGGAAGCTCAGCTGCAGTAGGCGGGTGGATATCTTCATCGGAGTCGCTTGTTGCCGCTTCTTCGGCAGCCGAAATTGTGATGTCCGCCAGGATCTCCGCATCGTTGAGATCCGCCACAGCCTGCGCGTCATCGTCAGCACTTAAAGAATCGGGCCCTGTTACGCCATCTTGGATGGCACCTGGTAATGCCGCCAGCGCCTGAAATTCACCGTCGAAGCACTCAACGCCGTCATCTTCGGTGTCCGAACACGCCTCGTCAGGAGTCACCACACAGCCCGCTATGCGGAAGCAGTTCACGACTGTAATTTGTTTCTTGTCATTCCGAGCGCCTGTCAGCATCTGTGTAGCTCCAAGAAGGTCAACTTTGAGTTCGATTCCCAAACAAAGGTTCGTCAAGAGCCTCTGCACCAGTCGTCGCCTGTACCCAACCTTGAAGGCTTTGATAATTAATGCCTTGGTCGAAAGGCTGCAGCTTCGCCGTAGTGTAGGCCGACGAAAATTTCAGGGTGATGTTTTTCAATGAGATCATGACGTGGTGGGCTGAACAATTGTCGAGAAGGAGACAGACTTGGCGGCCGGACTTCTCCAGCGTGGTATTCCATGTCCGGAGCCACTCCGCGAACAGATCGCATATCATTCACGGTTTTTTGTTGGATGTGTAGTGCACCGAGAGACCTCTGGCATTCTTGAAGCAGCGTGGTGATCTGCTCTTGCCGATAACGAACGGCTGAAGGTTGCACGAGCGGTCTATATTTGCAGCGAGCAAAGTGGAGATGCGCACCTTGCTCATTTTTCCGCCATGGCGTTTGCTGCCCTTGAAGTCCATCTTGCTTGGCAGTATCTGCCAAAACAGGGCAGTTTCGTCAGCATTAAATATTTGCGACGGCGAAAAGCTGTTGCAGATTTCTGGCCATTCATCAGACAGCCACTTCTCAATGCTGTTCTTGGTGCTGGTTGCCCCGCTTTCACCCAAGAGGGTCTTCCCGACGATGCCGTAGCGATTTTTGAAGCGTTGCTGCCATCCTGTGCCACCAGTGAAGTTGTCTTCACCTAGCGCGGTTGCAAATCACTTTGCCTTTTCCATGAGCATTGGGCTGTCAACAGGAATGTTTTTTGCCCGAGTCTCAAAGAACCAAGCGTACAGGGCTTTCTGAACCTTATCGTATTTCGGTGCACGCACGCGACACGCTCCAGAACGGCCGCACTGCACTGCCTTCGCCTTGACATCAGCTTTGTGGCACAATATTGTGCTTAAGGTGCTCCGAGGAATTCCGAATTTCTTGGCAACCGACGACTTCTTTTCGCCGGCCTCCACCTGTCGAATGATTTCTGCCTTTGTTGAGCAATCCAACTTCTTACGTTTTTCTGAGTCCATGGCTCCGAAATGCGTGACCCTGTGCCGCAAAAACAAAACAAACATGCACCACACTTCACGAGTACCTCGACGGAGCAACCACTGCCACTGGCCAAGCGGTGAGAACGGACAACTCCGCCACTCAAGCAAACAGGCTAAAGCTCGCAGAAACTGGATTTTCCTTCCTCCTCAACTGTCTCTCGCCTCCGTTCTTTACCATGCGGCTGATGCCTCGAAGGTCACTCTAGCGTCGCGACGGAGCCTCTCTCTCACCGAGCGCGGGAGCGCGCACGAGAACTCGTCGCCGGAACCTTCCCAGGAGGAGCGGTGAAGTGCAGTTGCAGTGACGCTCGACGCGCAGGCGCGTTCGAAATATCGCATGTGGCGGTGACCGGGAGTTCAATACATGCGTACAACAGCGCTATACTTTTGCATGGGATTTACAAGCAAATGTTTAGACTGTTCAATATATATAATAATTCGATATATCCGTGTTTGGTATATCCGGGATCGACTGTAGTACGGTGGAAGTAAATATTTCGCTTTATCTATCCCGACTTGACAATAATAAATAGCAAAAACCAACTTGAGTTTCGTAAAGAGATTTTCCACAGTTTTTTTAATTAAAACTTTTCTGGCGTGCCAATGGAGCGTCCATAGTGAGTCAAAACGAAATATTGACTTGCTGTTAACCATATGAACAGCGTGTGCATTGAATAACTCTAATGAGTTGATAATCAACCTTTATGGAGTTCGGTCAAAGGTGATTGCTGTTTTCATGCAGATATTGCTTGGCTTGCTGCGGTTATCATCAACAGCGGCACAATGGGATGCGCTACAGCTGCAACATTTAGCGCCCAACACGACGATCGAAGGACTACCGCCCCATGACGTGCTTCGCTACCGGCCATGTGATGGCGTCCCGGGCGGCGCTACACTACAATTCTTGGAACCGGCAGATCTATCGGCATCGAGGATCACAGCTATAAAGCAAGCCCCGCAAGGACCGTGTGGCAGTGGGCTCGGCAGCAACACCAAGATGCAGTGCTCAAACCCGCTGCTGTTTTTCATGCAGATATTGCTTGGCTTGCTGCGGTTATCATCAACAGCGGCACAATGGGATGCGCTACAGCTGCAACATTTAGCGCCCAACACGACGATCGAAGGACTACCGCCCCATGACGTGCTTCGCTACCGGCCATGTGATGGCGTCCCGGGCGGCGCTACACTACAATTCTTGGAACCGGCAGATCTATCGGCATCGAGGATCACAGCTATAAAGCAAGCCCCGCAAGGACCGTGTGGCAGTGGGCTCGGCAGCAACACCAAGATGCAGTGCTCAAACCCGCTGCTGTTTTTCATGCAGATATTGCTTGGCTTGCTGCGGTTATCATCAACAGCGGCACAATGGGATGCGCTACAGCTGCAACATTTAGCGCCCAACACGACGATCGAAGGACTACCGCCCCATGACGTGCTTCGCTACCGGCCATGTGATGGCGTCCCGGGCGGCGCTACACTACAATTCTTGGAACCGGCAGATCTATCGGCATCGAGGATCACAGCTATAAAGCAAGCCCCGCAAGGACCGTGTGGCAGTGGGCTCGGCAGCAACACCAAGATGCAGTGCTCAAACCCGCTGCTGTTTTTCATGCAGATATTGCTTGGCTTGCTGCGGTTATCATCAACAGCGGCACAATGGGATGCGCTACAGCTGCAACATTTAGCGCCCAACACGACGATCGAAGGACTACCGCCCCATGACGTGCTTCGCTACCGGCCATGTGATGGCGTCCCGGGCGGCGCTACACTACAATTCTTGGAACCGGCAGATCTATCGGCATCGAGGATCACAGCTATAAAGCAAGCCCCGCAAGGACCGTGTGGCAGTGGGCTCGGCAGCAACACCAAGATGCAGTGCTCAAACCCGCTGCTGTTTTTCATGCAGGTGAGAAAACGCAACGCTAAATCTTATCATAGCGATGACGTCTGCCTACTTTTGCTGCCGTGCCCACGGTCCATAACGCTATTGTGTGAAATGTTACACGATGTCATTAATTCTCTAACATTTTTGTTGCTTCTCGGTGGCGACATCGAAGAAAATCCGGGACCTACAGTAGCAGAACAGCTAAAACTGATAGCTGAAGACATTCAGGAAATTAAGAACGGAAAAACTGAAATCAACGAAAAGTTGAATGCAATAGATAAAAAGATTGAGAAAATCGGCGGGCTTGAAAAACAAATAGTAGACTGCACGAAAAGAATATCGGAGCTGGAAAACGGTCTCTCGGCTATGGCGAAAAAAGTCGACGAGTTAGAAAACAGAAGCCGGCGATCTAACCTTATCATTTATGGTGTGAAAGAACAACAGAATGAAACGTCTAAACTTTTACACGATGTGGTTGCGAAAAATATATTCCAAGATATACTAGAATTCACTACCTCAGGAATAGAGAGAATTCACCGACTCGGTGCTCGAAAACCGGGTAACGAACAAAAAGTAAGACCAGTAATCCTAAGGCTATTGGACTACCGTGACAAAATTAACATCCTAAAACGGTGTTCAAGACTCAAAGACACAGGCTTCTCGATTAGCGAAGACTTCTCCCAGCCAATTCGTGACATCAGAAGAAAGTTGTGGCAAAAAACAAAAGTCAATCGTGAGCGCCATGAGAAGGTCTCATTAGTTTACGATAAAGTTCGCATAAATGGCCGCCTATTCTCCTGGGACAGTGAACGAAATGACATCGTTGAGGCTGAAAAAAACGAAGAACAAAGACGCGCAAAAACGCGACACACTCGCAACCATCCACGTTGACACTTTTGAATATGAATTGTCGAAGCATTATCAATAAAACACATGAACTCGAAGCTGTCCTACTGTCTTATCAACCTGATATTGTAGCGCTCACTGAAACGTGGATGCATTCCGGTATCCTAGACCACGAGGTAGTACCGCCAGGGTATGCGATTCTACGCAAGGACAGAAAAACGAGAGGAGGAGGAGTAGCCTTATTAATTCGTCACGGTATTCCCTACACAGCTATGCCCATGGCATCTGACATCGAAGCAGTATGGTGTAAATTCTACGTCAAGGATGAAATAACCTACATTGGCGTCGTTTACAGACCACCTGATGCTGAAGTTTCATTTTTAGAAGCACTGTACGATTATATGCTTACGCACGCTCTTCGCGGTAAAAAAATCATTGTAGCAGGTGATTTTAACCTGCCTGAAGTGAAATGGGACTCGCTGAATCTGGCGACGAAGACTGGCAACGTGCTTGCTGATATCATGTTCACATTTAACCTCACACAAGTTGTTACAGTTCCTACACGTAATCAAGGCTCTTTCGCTTCTATTCTAGATCTTTTTTTTGTAAGTGATCACTTTTTAAAATATCATATTAACGTAGAAACATTAGAAGGCCTATCTGATCATAAAATAGTCTCGTGTTGTTTGCAATATCCAAGCGCTATTCATACGAAAGCTACAACAAAACGGGTACCTGCTTTTAAAAGAGCGGACGACGCTGCCATCATGACATACCTTGCTCTCGAATTTTCCAACTTTTTGGACCTCTACTCAAATGAACACTCAACGGTAAATATGATATGGTCAACATTCAGTAATATTGTCAGGCACTGCATAGACAACTTTGTTCCAACATGATGATGGATGGTAGCGCAGACAACGAACACGGACAAGAGTAGGCACAAGCCCAAATCGCCACCCTCATTTGTTCCAACAGTTACAAAAAGCATCAAAAAGCACAATCCATGGATCACGCGCGACATAATTCATATGAAGCGTAAACTAAAAAGGCTCAGAAAAGCTCAGAAAGTTCACCCACGCAGTTGTATTGCGTCGGAAATCCCAGCACTAGCTAGGTCCCTTAAGAAACAAGTGAATTTGGCAAAAAAGCGCTTTCTCAGTCACTCTTTACACAGTTTTATCAAAACAGCGCCTCATAAGTTCTGGCGATACATAAGTGTGAAACATACTAACAAAGCCTATACGCCTACCCCGGGAGGAAAACAGACAGCCGATCATTTCAACAGCTACTTTCAGTCTGTTTTCACCGCTGATAATGGCCTACTTCAACGCGACCAGTTCAGACCAAGTGGCGTAGATACGCCATTAGATACCCCCTTCATATCGCAGGCGGGGGTATTATCCCTCTTGCTAAACCTCGACGAAAAGAAAAGCACTGGTCCAGATGACATTCCAAATGCCTTTTTAAAGCGGTACGCTGAGCCTGTAAGCAAATTCCTTCAGCTAATATATTTAAAGTCACTTCGCGTTGGTCATCTTCCAGCTGACTGGAAATTAGCAAAGATAATACCCGTGCATAAATCAGGTGATACGTTTTCCCCTGCTAACTACAGGCCCATATCTCTGACATGCACATCTTGCAAAATACTGGAACATATCATCCTGAAATATTTAACAGAGTTTGTCGAAAGTCACAACATATTACACTCCAATCAGCATGGGTTCCGCAGTGGCCTGTCGACTGTTACTCAATTAGTAGAAACGCTTCATGACTTTGCCAAAGATGTTAACAGCCAACTACAAACAGATGTAATATTTATGGACTTTTCAAAGGCTTTCGACCGGGTTTCCCACCTGAAGCTTAACTATAAACTAAGATGTCTATTAGGCGAAGGACCACTCACACGTTGGATTGAAGATTATCTTTCAGACCGTTATCAGTACGTACAGTACAATGCCCATGTATCTGATACTGTTCCCGTTCTATCTGGTGTACCGCAGGGTTCTGTATTAGCCCCGATGCTATTCTTACTATATATAAACGATATTACTAAGCACGTCGACGTAAACATTAGATTATTTGCAGATGACTGTGTACTGTACCACACAATCAAAACTGAAGATGACCAAACAAAACTTAGTAATTCTCTGTACAAAGTGTCTCAATGGTGCTCAGACTGGCAAATGGTGTTAAATGCAGAAAAGACAGTCTACATGAACATTACTAACAAAAATCAACACTTACC